AAAAGAGACACACAGAGACAAGCAAATACAGAACAAGACACGAAAACCGTCCACACCTGCCGATCGGCAGGTGCGGAAGGTTGAGGGCGAGGGTAGTCTTCCCCGAGAGGAGGGGGAGTAGGAGGAGGAGGGGAAGGAGAAGGAGGAGGAGAAGGAGGAGGAGGAAGAGGAGAAAGAGGAGGAGGAGGAGGACAAGGAGGAGGAGGAGGAGGAGGACAAGGAGGAGGGGGAGGAGGAGGAGGAGGAGGAGGAGGACAAGGAGGAGGAGGAGGAGGAGGAGGAAGACGAGCGGTGCGGTCTGACAGGGACCCCGAGGCGGATCCGGCCGCGGCAGCGGGGGGCCCCAGGAGGTCCGAGGGGGCGGGAGCGAGGGGAGGAGGGCTCGGAGCTGGCGTCGAGGCAGCGCCGTTCCAGCCCGAGGGCGGGCCCCGCATGCTCGAGGGACTGCTGCAGGTCGCTCGAGAGCTGCGCGGAGTGCTTGCGCATGTCGCAGTAGAACTCCGACCTCGTGGGCGGAAGACTGAACTACCTGCCAGACCGTCCCAACCCAACCCGAAGACCCAGATTTCGGGTTTGGAGGGGTACGGTATCCACATATGCGTTCTTTCCAAGCTACCCGACGCCCCCACACTGGGAAAGGAGGGCAAAGCGAGGCCTTCAGGTTGGCTCGGTTTGGCTTGATGTGTGGTGAATGTCCGTATCCACGGCCTCGCGGGCTGGGTCCCTGGGCCGCGACCCCGCGGACCCGGGGGCACTTTCTCTTGCGGACGCCCCGCGCGGAACGTATCCATGCGACCGCGCATCCGCGCGATCGCGCTCCCGAAAATCCAACTCGCGAGAACGCGGATACTGCTGTGTTCGCCGCTCCCGAGGACCACTTGGCGCACGACCCGAAGTTCGTGTTCGTGCACGCGATCCTGGGCGAGGAGGGGCGGCGGACGAGCTCGAGCAGCATCCTCTTCTGGGCGGTGGGCTTCGGGTGGCCGGTGAAGTGGGAGACCACCGCGTCGTCGCCGCAGCGGAACTCGCACTCCGTCCTTGGCAGAGGGGAGCACAAAGCCGTCATCGGAGGCCCGCGCTGAGTGCTCAGTTCGGCACCGGACCCTCCTCTTCCCCACGCCTCTTTCCCCAGCGCGCGGAGCCGGGGTTGGCGACGGGAGGGCGGGAAGCGCTGTCAGGGTTGTGGGGAGCGGGAGCTGGCGCCGACCCCAGGGATCCGAGGGGACCTCTGACCTCTGGAGGGAAGATTTACGCAGTTTGATCCACATCCGACCTTTGGCCTGGCTGGACGCCGATGATGTCCACGCAATTGAAATTGCGAGGCAGCTCGATCACTTTGCCGCGGTAGACCTCGTTGATGATGTTCTGATCGAGGACGTCGTTCCGCTCACGATGGGAGACCGTGTCAAGCATACGCATGAAGATTGCAAGGTCTGGCTTGTAGATCATCACCCCGCTGTTGTACTCGTTCTCACCGTGTCCATGGGCAATGTCCTTGCAACCGTCCATCGCCATCGCGATGTGGCCGAGGTCCATGCGATCGTTCATCGCTGTGGCGGCGCGACCATCAAGGAGATCCCGAATCTTTGACTGGAATACGTACGTGTCTGAATCCAAGAAGAGAACACGTCGGAAGGGAAGCCGGAACGCATTGATTTTCTCGAAGCTGTCGTGCCAACGTCCCAAGAACTGCAGATCGCACTTGGGACCGCAGTAGTCGGCTTCCCAATTCGGCACGGCGACTACCACCCAGCCAGCGTCACGTAGGAGCTGCTGGTGGTTCGTCTTCATTCCTTCGACGACGATGGCGACCATGGGGAAGCCAGGCACATGCTTTTTTACAGACATGCCGAGCATGACCGCGCCATCGATGTACGTGAGGTCCTTCTTGCCAGCGTAAGTGACGATCGCCGTTGCGTTGCTGACGTTCCCTATTCGGGGGCGCGCAAACATGGATTAGCGATCCATGGACTTGGCGCGCGGTCGCCAAATCCATGGATCTGGGGAGGTGCCCTTCCCAGAATGCGGCCAGTGCTGCCTCGCTCGGCGGCGGAAATCCGCGATTCCCCATGGAAACGGGACCCGTCGCTAGTAAGCGTTGTCTTGTCTTGCTCTGCGTTTCGACATTGGGCGGAAGGGGGGAGGGGGGGTCTGGCCCTGGACCCCTGCTTAGTGCGACTGTTGGCAGCAGTGCCTCCTGTGGGGAGGGGAGCCACCACCTGCCCGAAACGGGCGCCAGAAGCGAAGCGGCCGAGACCTCCTCCATGGGGGGGGGGGGAGCGCGAGGGCCGGCGCCGATCGGCAAACCAGCGCAGAAGAAAACGATCACCTATCCACGCCCCCCCCCCCTTGGAGCCGTGCTTGCGATCGCCTGGCCTATGCCGTCGACCTGGAGCACGTGCGAGACCCTCTCCAGGAAGGCCTTGTCGAGCCGCCCCGCGCCCACGCCCACGGCCTGCACGGCCCTGCGCGGCTCATGCCGCGGCGCATGCCGTGCCTCCTGGAGCATGACTCGACCGATCCCCGTCCCCACCGGCATTACCTCGGCCCCACTGGCCGACTCGACTCTGGACGGGGCAACGATCGCCCCCCCCCCCCCACCCTGGATCCGCTGGAGGGGGAGGGGGCACGTGCTGTCGGAACTGATAAAGGGGGGTTGGAGGAGGGGGAGGAGGAGGAGGAGGAGGAGGAGGAGGAGGAGGAGGAGGCGGAGGAGGAGGACCAGTGTAAACCCAAGAGTCACCAACGATGTTGGAATAAACCCTCCCTCCGAGCTCTCTCATCACAGACCCCTACAACGGTTCATTTCCATTGAAGAAACTGCCTCTTTGGAAGGCAACCGTTTGAAGACCCTGAACCATGCCAAAACATTGTTCTCGGGAATCCAACGCCACGGATCAACCTGACTGTTGCGTCTTGAAAATCCGGAATCGCGCCAAGACGCAAGTCCTGGGATCCCAACACAGCGAATCAACATAACTGCTGCACCCGCGTAATCCTGAATCCCTTCAAAACATACTTTTTGGCACGTTGATGATGGGAATACGTGAAAATCTTGCAAATGTTTCCAACGAATGTGCGCCGCGCTAAGACGAGAGCCACATTTTGAAAAAGAACGCCTTCAATCCATGAAACTCTTGCAAATGGTTAAAACCAAGGTGCGGGGCGCTACGGTGAGAGCCACATTTTGAAAACGACCCGCCCTCAATCCGCGAAACTCTTGCAACGTTTTAGAACGAATGTGCGCCGCGCGAAAACCAGAACCACATTGTGAAAACGACCCGCCCTCCATATGTGAACCGGTTGCCAACGTTTACGCCTCAATCATAAATGGTGGGGGAGTCTCAGACGAAACGCCCGGCACGCCCTAAAACTGGACTCGGGGTGCGACACGGCGAAGTTATTCATAAGGAAAGGTAATGGAGGAGGAGGAAGAGGAGGAGGAGGAACAGGAAGAGGAAGAGGAGGTGGAGAAGGGGGGGAGCCCCGTATCACGACGGTGGGTCCCAGAGAGGCGTGACCCAGGAACGGAATGCTCTCCGCACGAACGGCGACCGCCGCATGTCTGGCGCACACTGTCGTGCCAATGGTCCCCCATTAGGTGGGAATGTATGCTGCTCCTCTCGCGCTTCTCGGGGGCCTGCCCCCACCTGCTGCTTGCAACTGTCAAACTACACGAGTTCAGTCGGGCCTGTCCCCCCACAGGGGGATTTTCAACGAAAAAACACAAAAATACTCCAAAAATATTCCAACATGGTAAATAACATACATTTATATATATGTATACATATATATACATATACATATACATATATATATATATATATATATATATATATATATATATATATATTATGTACACACAAAATGATCCCCAGACTATGCTTTACTATTTTTGAATATTGCCCCTGTAGAGGGACAGGCCCGACTCACAACTACAAGAGAGAACAACGGCATACGCAGAACGTCAGGCTGCAGGAACTCCGAGCGATGTTCCTCGGGCCCGCGCTGGGCTCCTCCCCCGGGCGCGCGCCGCGCGCGCCCAGGGCGGCGCCAGAGGGCCGCAAGGGGGGGCCCGGCGAAGATATGAGGAACCCGCGCGGAGATCCAAAAGCGTATGTTGGTGCCTCTCGCTCTCTTCGAATGGCTCCGGTGGGGAATCGAGCTCTATATACACCGACGCGTTTTCCGGCCCTGCATTGGAATTTGCACTGGAGAGAGGATCCTGGTGTATATGTATACATGTTTCGCTGTTTCCCCGGGACATCGGGGAAAAAAGTATACACCACACCACCCCAGCGTCGTCCCCGACCCTCGGAAAGCCCTGGGATTGAAGAACAACTCGCCACTGGTCATGCATATGTTCCAGATTCCGATCCGGGGCCCCCAACCATGGGGCGGAGATGCCATGGCCCAGCGGGTACCCAGAAATCCGACGTCGCGTGTTTGTTGTCACCACGTGGCTCCCGTGAGGCAGGGCCAGACCTAAACGTTGTTGCTTCAATGCTGTTGTCGTTTTGCTGTTCGTTTTGCTCGACCTGTTTTCCGGTACCCCCTTGCCAAAACGACAGACAAAACACAGCCGAAGTCCAGCAAAACAGCGTTGCGGTCCAGCCCTGCCCCGAGGTCTGAATCCCTGGCCCGGGACCAGCCCATTATCGTGATTCATTTTTTGTTGTCCCAGGGCCTGGCGAAGGCCCCAAATTCCAAACACAGCCACAACCTCTCGCCGTGATGTTTCACGACGCGAGCATGTGTGGGGAGATCCGCCACCGTGCCTGCAGCACGTACAGTGGAAGCCAATCCACAAGACATCTTCCACAAGAAACCCAAACATGAACCCCAGGGCGTCCATGGATTTTTGTTGTGAGAACGTCACGATTCCCATGCCAAAACCATCGAAACCCAAGAAACCCAGGGCACCCTGGAGACAAGCAGGGTGTTTCTTGGCATGGGTCTCCACTGTAGGGGAGTGCCATGGGAAGCTCAGGATTGCGGGTGTTTCTTTTCACGCTAAGGGTTCAGGCCACCGGCTTCCCAAAGTGTTCCGGGAATTTCCATGGATTTCCAAAGGTGTTCGGGAATTTCCTCCGGGGATTTCAAAGAGGCTTGCCGAAGATTCCCCGGGATTCCCTGGGCGTGTTGTGCGCGCTCTCCGGTAGCGCAGCCGGCCCACAAGCGCCCAAGAAGGCCGAAGATGCCTTCGAGAGGCCCAGGAGTGCCCCCTATACGCCCAAGATGGCCCCAACACGTCCAGGGGAACGCAGTCCACGGGCGCTTGCCTTGGGAAGATTCGGTGGCACGTTTGAACCAGGGTCCCCCCCCCCGCCGAACGTTCGGCGCCGTCGAACAGAACCAGGGGCCCCCCCCCCCTCCCCCGAACCCCCCGCCCCCTTCTCAAAGGGAGGCTCCAACCAAAAATGGGAGAACTCACAACCAACAGAAACATACTCCAACAATTTCGGTCCCAATCCCAACCATAAGGGACAATTTACAGCATACTGTGTACTAGAAACATATATATATATACACATGTATGTTCGAAGTTCCTTCTGCAGGCTCCTTCGCAGGTCCTTGGAAGCTCCTGAAAAAAAACTCCTTGGGAACTCCTGAGGAAGATCTTTAAAAGCTTCGAAAAGGCTCTTTAGAGGTTTCGCAAAAAGGTTGTTGATGAGTTCCGAAGAGGTTCCAGAAGGTTATTGAATTAGGCTCCTTAAGAAAGTTCCTTAAAACCATTTAACAAGTTTCTTAGAGGCTCCTTCGAATTCTCCCCCCCCCAAAAAAAAAGGCTCTTTCGATGCTGCTCAGAGTTCCCCGAGAGGTTCCGAAGAAGAGGAAAAAAAAATCAAAAAAAAAAAAACAAAAAAAAAAACGACAAGTTCCTTACAGGCTCCTACGAGGTTTCTGAGAAGCTCTTAAGAAGTTGCTGATAGGCTTATTCGAGGTCCTTGGTTTCTGGAAGATTGCTGCACGATTCCTGCGGAATTTCAAAAGGGTGTCGGGGGGGAAAATAAGACCCCCCGAAGAATGCATCAAGGGCTCCTCAACGATTCTTCCAGTTTCTCTCGGGTTCCGAAGGATCCCTGGCAGACTCCTAAAAAGGGTTCCTGGCGGATCATTGTAGGAAACCTGCGTGTTTCCCACACGATTATGCGGCTTCCTCTGGATTCCGAAGGATCCCCGAGGATTCCTTCGGTGTCCTGTGGATCCCCGGGATTTTCGGACACTCCTCAGAAGAACCTGGGGGCCCCTGACGAACTCATGAACGATTCCTCCCCCGCGGGCGCGAAGCTCCCTGGGTTCCGAAGGATGCGCGTTCAAAAGAAGCGTCCCGCGCTTGCAGCGCCCCGGTGAGCAGTCGAGCCCATGGGGGCAGAAGGGGGGGGGGCGAAGGGCCACTTGGCCCACCACAGCCGCCGCGGAATCGTTCGGTCACCGCCTCCTGACTAGCGGGCGCGGGATATCCCAAACACCCGATGGGCGACTCTTCCGATCGAGGCCTTTCGCCCACTTCGGAGGTTCGAGGAGATTGAACCCATGGGGAGGGAGAGGGTGGCCGAACGAGCCGCCCTGCCCCCCGCCGCCGCCGCCGAGCCGTTCGGCCCCCATTTTTGCCCGCGGGCGCAGGACTCTCCCTGGTTCCGAAGGCGACCGTTCCAATGGAAGCGTTTCGTGCCCTCGGGCTCCGGGAAAACCCCGAACCCACGGGGGGGAGAGTGCGGCAAAACGAGTCGCCCTGCCCCCTGCCGCCGCCGCCGCCGAGTCGTTGGGCCCCCGCCTCCTTTTTCGAGGAAGGGGGATCCCCAAGTCCCCGTGGGCGACGCTTCCGATGGAAACGCTTCGTGCCCTTACGGGTTCGGGAAACCTCCGAACCCATGAGGGGGAGCGTGGCCGAACGATTCAATTTGCCTTCCGCTGCCGCCGCTGGGCCGCTCGGCCCCCGATTCCTCTCTCGCGGGCGCGGGGCCCCCCGGATTCCGAGGGCGACGCTTCCAACGGAACGTCGGGGCCTTGGCGAACACTCGAACCCACAGGGGGTGGGAGAAAAGGGGGCGAACGGCAACTTGGCCCAGCGCCGCCACCGACGAATCGTTCGGTCACCGCCCCTTTTCTTGTGGGCGCGGAACTTCCCAAACGCACGAGGGCGACTCTTCCGATGGAAGCGTTTCGCCACTCTCGGGGTTCGAAGAGACTGCACCCATGGGGAGGGAGAGGGTGGCCGAACGAGTCGCCTTACCCTCGCCGCCGCCGCCGCCGAGCCGTTCGGCCTCCGATGCCTTTTGTTGTGGACGCAGGACCCCCCGCACCCCCGAGGGCGACGTTTCCAATGGAAACGTTTCGCGCACTCTGGGTTTCAAGGGGCCCCCGAACCCCGAGGCGCGGGGCTGCGTGGCAAAGCCCTTCGCTTTGCCTTCCGCCGCCGCCGCCGAGCCGTTCGGCCCCCACGTCTTTTTCCTGCGCCCGCGCGGGAGTCCCCCCGACTCCAAGGGCGTCGTTTTT